AATATAATTTATTTGTAAATTATTATAAAAAAAATTTAGTAGCTTAGTGGTTAGAATATCAGTCTTTAACTCTAATAATAATTCAAAAATAAAAATATAATTGGAGGAAATAAATAATAAAAATATAAAGGAGAGGAGATTATAAATGAGTAAAAAATACAATAAATAATAAAAATATTTTGGACGGATTTCGTTTGTCGGTAATTTTATACAACATTTACCAACAAAATTTTATTATTATTGAAAGATTTTGACCATTGATATTTTCAATATTTATTATAGTGTATATTTCCAACACAAAACACGTGTGTTGATACTAATTGCATACACCAATCTTAAATATTAAAATGTATTTTCCTCAACATTCATTCTTATATGGCACAAAAACACTTTTAAATAAGGTATTTCTAAATAGATTATCTCCTTAATTTTTTTATTTTAAAAAAATAAAAACAAAAATTTATGATATAATATTATTTTTAAATAATTTATTATTTATTTTATTTTATTAATTTTTTTAATAAATTTAAAAAATTTAATCTTTTTTTATTTTAATCTCCAATTTAATACAATTAGTATGTTATATAAAAATTTGTCGACCAAAAGTTATTTCAAATAATTGATTTTTTATTTAAACATTTTCATATCATAACTATTTAACGGTGACATCTTTTCGTACATATTTTGCCAACTATATATTGAAGTGTCATCTTTAAAATAGAAAAATCAGTTTCTCTGCTTTAGAAGTCCATTAAATCAGTCTCTCTACGAACAGTACATAGAGAAAGCAATAATGTTAGGTCTCTTTGAATGTGGACATTCTCAATCAAACTCTACTTAACAAATGCATACACATGATTGTAATGGCATCATTTTGGCGCATAAAAAAGAATTAAAATGAAACTTTAAAGAAAAGAGGAAGTTGTGAATCATGCATAGAAGTAGAGGGGGACCAAGCTACCACCTTTGTTTCTGCTTGTTAGTAATAGTTTCATTCTTTCAATAATGGAGTTTGAAAACGACACCAGAGAATAAAGAAATGCCTGCAGATTGTTATTTTTGTTTTCGTACAAAAAAAGAGAAACTTTTATCAAACGCGTGTGTTTTGGAGGAAGACTTTTTCCAATATCTCTCTTATATATGTAAAGAAGACCAGCCCCTACGACCTAAACTATTTGTCCTTCACCAAAGTATTCAAGTATGACAAGTACATCAAGAGTACGTTGGTAAACATATGCAAGTTTAACTCAATATTATGGCTTTATATATATATATATATATATATATATATATATATATATATATATATATATATATATATATTATATTTAATAATGTAACTGTAATAAAAATCTCACTTTCAAACTGTGTGATGCATATATGAGTAATGGCAAAGGCTGCGAGGATTCAAATGTACAATGCATGCGTTAATATTATTAAACTACATTTGTTTGGAGTGTTATATATATAAAAGAGAACCCTTTTACCATTTCAACTTTTTTTAAAGACAAATTGTTTTCTCTCAAAGGGTCTCAGTAATGTCCTTTTTATTTTATGTTTTATTTTTTAAGAGAGAAAGAATCAGATGAAAGGTCATAGATAGTTAAGAAAACATAGGATGTGAAATAAAGTTACAATAAAGTAAAAATAAAACTGTTTAGTTAAGAAATAGTAAAAAATAAAATAAAAACTATTTTCAATATTATTTATTTTAAAAACTGTGCTGTTATTGTTATTAAAAATAACAAATGTGAAAGTAAAAAGGAAAAAACAGGGGTCACATTATATTTTGGATTCTTATAATATATTATGCACCAATTAAAAAAAAAGTTACGCAATAAACTGTGTTTTATAATATAATTAATTATATATAAAAATTATATATCTGTTTACTAATTTGTGTAAAATATTTGTTAACCCAGTTGAATATTTTTTTCACTACTTATTTATATTTTTTTCTTCATTTAAATCAAATTTTTTTAATCTGGTTGATTATTTCTTTTAAACAAAGATCAATAAATAAGTTCGAAAAATATGCGTTGATTTCAAATAGGATTATAATATTTATGCAAGAAATGTCTTTACATTTGAAGAGACTACACATAATATAACATTATTTGAAAATTTAAAGTTAAGTTAAATAATTTATAAATGAGAAAAATTTATATTTTAAGATTTTTTTAATGTGATATTATTATATTTTTAATAATTAATTCTTATTTATTATAAATTTTCCTGGTTAACAAATATCAAATCGTAAAATAAAATCGATAATCTGTGTTATAATAGGCACATTCAATTACGATTGTAATAATTTATAAATTCGAAACAAGTCATCATATTGTTTAAAATTTAAATATAAAATAAAATTTAATAATAATAAATTTTTATTAAATAATATAATTTAAATAAATAAAATTATTATTTATAGAGTATTAAATATAATAAGTTATAATATAAAGAATAAATGTCAATAATATTAATTTAAAAAGAAAATAAAATTTTAATGTCTTTATTTAGAGACCGATTTTCAATAACTCGAATTTGTCACTTTCTCCCCATTCTAATTCTCCCTCTTTTTTCGCTGGATCCAAAAACATTGATTAACTTTTGTTTGGGGTGTTGATTTTAACTTTGTTAAGAAATAGGAGGATGCTGACAAGGATTATGATTGGACTAGAAAATGTTCCTTGATTAACGAAGTTGTCAAGGGCGAGAATATAATACTTTTTATTTTGAATTGATTTTCTAAATTTCATTTGAATACATTCTTAAAAGATATATTAAATATTAATATGATAATAAGTAGTTATTTTAATAATTATTATCAAATAATATTTTAATATTATTAGAATAGACTCTAATATAATAATAAAATAAATAATTTGATTTTAAAAAATCAATTAATATAATAATTATTTTTATATATTATAATGTTATTATAATTTTGAGATTTTGTTAAATTTTCTCATCTTAACAAAAAAATTATCATTATACTTTCATATATTTAGATTTTAATATAAAAATTTCATTTATTAGGAGTTTGAATTTTTCATTTTTTTTACATTTTGATTATTTGGGAATCAGATCTCTATCGTGCTATTGGGTTGGACTAAGAGGTGGAGGTTGAAATTGAGATTAGACGTTGTGGACAAAGAAAGAAAGAGATACACTTGTGAAAGAGAGAAAGGAAAGAAAATATTGTTAAAAAATTAAATTAAAGTTAAAAAAAAAACTATTTTGAATCAATTAAAAAACATAAATAATTAGTTTAAAATTTTAAAAAATAGGATAATAAATTAACATTAGAATAGTCTTTTGTTTTCAATTTTTTCTTGTAAAATTTACAATTATTTGTTATTTAGTTATGAAATGAAAATTGGCAACGAAATGTAAAATAAGATGTTCATTTGTTTCAATATGATTTTTTTTTTACTAATTTTCCAGCTATATTCCACAGGATATCATCCCATAATTAAATAATTGTTGCAATTCAAAATATGCTAATTGGAGCTCATATTACAAATCATCCATCCAATTAACAATATATCCAAATTAGTATAAATTTAATTTAATACATACAATTTTATTACATTCAATATCTATATATAATTAATAGAAAAAATATATAAACACCTCATTAAATTACACTTAAATAAAATGTAATAAATAAAAAAATACTATAAATAATGGATATAATTAAAAAAAATAATATTAAAAAAAAAGGAATGACATGTATATCAATAGTAATTATTATAAGAAGAATTACAAGGTGGTGTTTCCATTGCAATAGTGACTTTAAGGTTGGAAAAATTGATATTGTAGTTAAAAAGTTAATTGGAGGTACATAAACTTTATGTGATGGGATCCACCCAGAAGTGTCCTGTCAGTGTAGCAGACAATGGTGACAGGTGTGCACGTGGGGCTTCTGCTTTTGGACTGACTTTGAAGTGGGCCTCCCTCTCTCTTTTCTAACACTCTTTTCATTTTCTTTTTTCAAAAACTACCGTATAAGTCCACAACAAAATTTCAACCACAATTCTTTTTTTTCTCTGAAAATATGAATCTAGACTTATCTTGAGATTTATTGAAATGAAAGGAAGAGATAGATTTTAAAATACAAATAGGTAACATGATTGAAAAATAAATAGAAATTATAAGTACAAGAAAATTTATATATCTTCTAACTTTAACTCGATCCAAGTCCGGAATTTGCTTTTTATGATTGGTCGTGTTTGATCTAAACATAAGCAAATGCATTAAACAGCGTTAAAAACTTAAGCATGGATGATTTATGATGTTGGGAAATTTAGTATAAAAATATTGGGAGTAAATGTTGCCAAAACATAATCTTAAGCCAAATTTCTAGAAGGAATTGCGTGAACATAAAAGGTTGGCCCAAAGAGAACGAATTAATGCAAGCCCAAAACCTTTGGAAGATGGGCCTTTCACTATTATCAGACTAATTTGTTGTCCAAAAGTACGAAAGGTTGTGACAAAAACAAAATAAGGTCTGTTTGCTACAAGTTTTCTCATAAGTACTCACAGAACAAAAATAAATATTTGTAATAAATGAAAAAGATAATTTCATTTGTAAAGCAGTGAAATTACCATTCATGTTGTACTACCAAGTTGTTATAAAACTCTTACATTCCATATTTTTCTTATCTGTTTATCGAAATTCAAAACTTTTAAAGAAGTTTACTTAAAGCTTGAAGGTTGTAATAGAAAGATCATATACCAAATTTTTTTAATAAAAATAAAATAAGTATATTTGACATGTGCACATGTTTTCCCAAAGCGACATCGCCAAATTTATTGAAAGTGGGCCTTGGATACAAAATGGGCCTTACGTGGTCCATCATAAAGAGAAATTATTTTAATTTTAACGGCGCCACCGACGATCGTTTTGTTACCACGTAAATCAAACGGAATTCGATCTTCTCCCATCATTATTAATCGTGAGAGAAAAAGGGCATGAGAAGAAACCTGTTTGTTTGATGTTCTTTTCTTGTGATCTGGGAGAACAAATAGTCCTTCCTCATAAGCTCGTCGCGATGGGTTCTCTACCTGTGCCCGCATTCCCAGGCGCGGCGGCCAAACAATGCCTTAACGAGAGCAGCCGCATTGACGAGAGAGCCCTTACGACGCTGTTCAAGTCGCAACAGAGCCACCTCAACTTCTTCTTCAACCACATCGACCACTCCCAAACCCTAGCCTTCACGCGCGCCCTCCTCGACGCCTCCGGCACCGTCTTCTTCACCGGCGTCGGCAAGTCCGGCTTCGTCGCGCACAAGATCTCGCAGACGCTCGTCTCACTCGGAATCCGCTCCGCCTTCTTGTCCCCGGTCGACGCGCTCCACGGCGACATCGGGATCCTCACCGAACGCGACGTGCTCGTCCTCCTCAGCAAGTCCGGCGCCACCGACGAGCTCCTCCGCCTGGTGCCTTGCGCGAGGGCGAAGGGCGCCCTCCTCATCGCGCTCACCTCCGTCGAAGGCAACGCGCTCGCCGCGATGTGCGACATGGCCGTGCATTTGCCCCTCCAGAGAGAGCTCTGTCCCTTCAATCTCGCGCCGGTCACATCCACCGCCATTCAGATGGTTTTCGGCGACACCGTTGCCATCGCGCTAATGGAGGCGAGGAATCTCACCAAGGAGGAGTACGCCGCGAACCATCCCGCCGGCAAGATTGGGAAGAGTCTCATCTTCAAGGTCTTTCTTCTATTCCATTTGCATTGGCACTTGCATTTGTTTTCCCTAAATTGTTGTTGTCTGACTCGAATTTGAATTGCAGGTGAAGGATGTGATGAGGAAACAGGACGAGCTTCCAATTTGCAGAGAATCGGATTTGATTATGGATCAGCTTGTGGAGCTCACGAGTAAAGGATGCGGATGCCTCCTTGTTATCGATGACGATTACCGTCTGATCGGAACGTTCACCGACGGTGATCTCCGTCGCACTCTCCGAGCGAGTGGAGAAGCCATTTTCAATCTCACTGTGGGGAAAATGTGCAACAGGTGACTTAATCATCATCATTATAATAGTTATTTTGAATGCTTTGTTGAGGAGGAGGCGAGTATACGATAATGAGAGTGTTTTGTGGGTGTTAGGAATCCAAGAATTATTGGTCCGGAGGCTATGGCAGTGGAGGCGATGAAGAAAATGGAGGCACCTCCATCGCCTGTTCAGTTTTTGCCCGTGATAAACGATGAGAATATTTTGATTGGGATTGTGACCTTGCATGAATTGGTTTCAGCTGGCTTGTGAATTGTGGTGTCTTTATATTAATAGATGTATAATTGCTTCATTCTTTTTAGTTTTTACTCCATATTAGCATTGAATCGCACCCAATTTCAAGTGGGATTCACTTGTTCCTGTGTACTGTATCATCTTGGAATAGGATTCAGAAGCAATTTTTTGGCCCTTCCTCTGCTGCGGAAGGACTTGGATTATTTTCGGTATGTAACACCTGCGGAAGGGCTTGTTCATTGCGGGCTTCCTCTAAAGCTTAATCATAGCAACTTCTGTTTCAAACTGACAAGATTTATTCCCTCTCAATCCCTCCTCACTGCTGACTGTTAAATATATCAAGTTGATTGATGATGCTGAATCATATTATATGTTGTAGTGCTGTCATTTCAAATGAAATGAAATTATAAAAGGGAAGAAAAATTAATGGCAGACAATGTAATTAATTATTCAATCCCTAAATCTTCATTGTTAATTGTCCTATTTGTTTATACATTCTAAATAACTAAAAACTTGTATTTGCTACTCTTTTATCCATATAATACCTTATATAACACATAATCTCCTCGTAGATTACGATGCATGTCATTAACTCACATGTTTTCTTTTGAATTTGGTTATGTATGCCAAATGGCATATGAGAGATGAGCACTTTAATCTACACTAGCTTGGAAAAAAAAGATAAGATTTAAAAAAACAATCTTGAATTGTAATATGTGGTGTCAATTAGGTTTTTGCAGTTGAAAACTAAATTATGCAAACTTGTCTCATGAGTAAAAGACAATCAGCAAGGGAAAAGAAAAAAAGAAAGTTACTTTGGTAATTTATGTTTCGAAAGGAATTTATTTTTCATGTAAAAAAAATGAATATAAAAGTCAAGATGAGGAGAATAATTTGAGAGATGCGTAATGAGCCTATAAAAAAGTGTATTTTATATTCAATATACAGTGAAAAAAATTCATAACCATTTGAGCTCACAAACAAATCTCTGTAATTATTTTGTTGATCCACCCCTTAATTTGTATTATGTAATTATTTGTTAAAAAGGGAAGAAATTTTCAGAATCCCTCTGATGATGAAGAGACACCTATTGTAACCACCATTTGCTGAAGCAAAACCCAATAAGACACTGGATATATGCTGGAAAGATAAACTAAGCTTCTTATTTTCCTTTTTGAAGTGATTCTAGTGGGGCATATATGAGACTACCACTTCAAGACATAGAGGATCTATTCTTTCATATAATCATTTGAGTATAAATTTCGTAATTAAAGCAATATTTACCTTTATCGTGTAATTAAAAAAGAAAAAAGTAAACAGCTTAATGCAGTTACCATTTTTACTAAATTAAGAACGTAAGATAATTTTATTTTTATTATTTTTTTTTAAGCGTAAAGGTTTTGATTATTAAAAGACAAATATAATTTGTGTATACATAACTTTTTAAACATCAACTATACCTCCTCTTATTTCATTTCTATATAAATAAAAAATGGAGAAGATTTTTTATTTGCAAAGGAAAAAGACTTAAAACGCAGCAGTAGTAACATTGGAATATGGATTGAAAAATAAATTAGATTGTTTTCTTTTTATGAAATAAGAAAAAATAATTTTTATTATAAAGAAAAGGGAGACAAAAGTTAATCAAACCTAATGAAGTAATATCTAAAACTGATGCACAAAATACTTATTAAGGAATTAAAATTAAACTAGTATTTTAGTCTGAATAATGTAGAGGGTAAATGATTATTTTATATAACGAATTTTTTTATAAATAAATATATTTAAATATATAAATCATTAATCAATTAAAATTGATAATTAACTATTTTCTTTAAATATATAAATCATATTTAATAAATATTTTTAATCATTAATAATGTTTGAAATCTTTAAATTTAATTTAAAATGAAAAACAAATTAAGAGAAAAGAGATAATAAGAGAAGCATATAATTTGTACCCCAGTAAATCGTTGGATAAATACCGTCGAACAGAAGCATATAATTTGTACAAACAGAGAAGCAGCCAAATCAAATTTAGCAATTTAAAGTTATAGAACCATAGCGAATTAATATATAGCGGAAAAGGAACTTCCAGCGGAGTGGTGTGGAAAACACGCAGGGACAAGATTTCGGCGACAAAAAGACAAGCATGACATTAGAAAAACTCAGGATGCAAAATGATGTTGGTTCTTGTCAACGGTTGTGTACCTTCTGTTACAAGCGAACCTTTTTTATAACATGTATCAACTGGATACCACTATGGATGTATCAACCATATTCCAAGTGGCAATCTTTGCATGAAAAAATGGTTACAAAGGACTACATATATCTTTTCCACTATGAAAAGTTAGTCATCAACTACTCATGCAACTTCAGAATCTGATGACGAAGATGTGTTCATACTATCAGATGAAACATCAAGTAACTCATGTTCTTGAAGAAAAGACAAGTAACGTGAGTTTGTAACAGAAGGAACTTTAGATGATTTTGGATCTCCTTTCTTTGAAATTGTTAACTTATGCCCAACCATCTTCGTATCAATTTTGGTGCCAACAGAATTGATTCCTTTCTTACCATCTGCAAAGCTTGACTGAAGCAAATTTATCTTCATTTTTGAATGAGTGTCATGATTAGTGTGAGTGCCAGCAGAAGTCTGCGGAACCTGGGAAATCACTTCATTTTGTTTCTTCTTGGATGAGTTTGGAACCACTTCATTTTGTTTTTTTTTCCAAGAACTTGAAACCACTTCATTGTGATTTTTCTTTAATGAATTCAATATTTCCTGCAATTTGCGTCGTTTCCCTTTTGAGGATTCATTTGATGATGTCTGGGATATAGGTTCTTTCATATGCAAGTCTTGCAAAGGGAAGGTTGAACAACTAACATTTTCTGGATGTGGTTTTGATCTCTTGGAGGCAACAGAGGTCAGTGTTAGTCGGAGATACTCTTTAGCCCATTTATAGACTGCACTTAATTTCCCATCCAAAGCTTGACAAAGAACATTCAAATCACTGATCTCGTAACGGTATAAGAGAATTTTGTTGCTCCAAGGGCAAGAACAAAAATGTTTTGCATGATCAAGACATGCAAACTTGTCATTTGAACATGAACACCCTACAGCAGACAAGTGTAAATCATACAGGCAAATACTACATTCCCTTCTACAAGTGGCATAAAAATTTTCATCCATTCTTTTTGATACTAAAGAACTGGAAAGAAATTTCCTCTTCAAAATTTCACTCTGGATGCGAGACTACACAATGAAAACAAATATAGTAAGAATGAATGCAACCTGAATATCCAGCCAACTTTGAACAGAAAACAAGAAATGAAGGAAAGGAGGGGGAGAAGGCCTTCAGAACTTTCTTATACTATTAATACGTAAAATGCATGCCTCTTCCGTCATTACAGTTTATCAAAATAAATAATTGAATACTCGTTAATCAATGAAGGTTTGAAGTTGATAATAAACAAGTTCTCAAAAACTAGGATTTCAGGCTGAAAGACTTACGTTGAAAGCTTTTGTTAAGAACTCATTTTTTCGATAGATGCCTTTGTATCTCAAGCAGTCTGATGATGTGCTCTTCATGCACAGCCCAGTTTCCCATTGGACCCTGACAGCTTCATTTGCTGCTCCTAACAAAAGCTTGTCATATGAAAGTAATGTCTTTCTCCTCTGTTCACGATATAGCTCTACAACATTCTGTCCATTAAGCAGCCACTCAAGAGGAGCAAAACTTACGGCTTCAGAACAGTTGAAACCACAATCAAATCCTGAATGATATGCCCCAGGGAAGACAACAACAAATTCACGAGGATACTGAACACAACGATATACAGGAATACCCTCTGCCTTTAATATGGAGCATGATAATTGCATCATCTGGTACCGAAATTAGCATAGAGACCCACATCAGTTTCATATATAAAAAAAATGTTTCCTGTAGAAACAATAATATATATACCTTATATTTGAAGTGACAGGAATTTATCCACACTCTGATAATTAACCTAGTTAGGGAATAAAAAAATTTACTACTATTTTCTCTATCATAAATTGATGGCAACAATTATTAACGTTTCAGCAAAGCCAAAGACATATGACGGCATGCAGCAAGAACAAGGTTTGGCAGACTTGGAGCCTAGAAGAGATTAGGCTCTATTTTGAAAAGGGGATTGTGAATGACAACAGCTTCAACAGAAGGTTGAGTTGCTAAGGTTGAACATTTAACAGAAAGTGTTTTTCACTTTTTCAAAGTAAAAAGAAAAACCCACCACTCAAGGACAATGCATATAACAGTTGGTAGTGCAAAACCAGGTTGATTACAATAAAGTAAGCTATAGTTAAGCAAGGGAAAACATAGATCTTATAACTGAAGCCTTTGCTTCCTTATCTAAGTGCCCATTGCCCCATTGAAATCTCAGTTGACAAAAGAAATGGTACTTCGTATGGTCAATGAAACTCACTAGATGGTATAAAGAGGAACTTATGACAATAAAAACATGTGGGATGGAGAAACATTTTCAAAAATGGTAATAGATGAGAGATATTGACAGGAAATGGGTGAAATTGGTATATAAATAACCCAGCAGAATCAAATCCACCTGACCAAAAATATGATTTTCTGTAAGGAAAACATTAATGAATTCATATTGAAAGGGTTAACGGAATACAAATATGAGAAATAAAAGGATGTTAGATGTACATCACAGTTACTTTTCAATGAAACACAAATGTTCATAACAAGCAATCGTATTCTCACCATATTATCATGCATATCACGCTGTCCTGCATGAAAATCTGGTAGATACTTTTTCCAAATTGTTTCAAAGTTAACAGCAAATCTTCCTGGGACGCTATACCACACTTTCGGGTCACCCAGATGCATGTAAGATAATGAGTATAAGTGGTGCTCTTCAACTTTCTGTTTTTGTCAAGTGATTAGATAGAGAAGTAAACAAAAGAGATTAGTCAATTAGTCATTAATTAGATTTGACAATTAGTCAGGAAGTTTCCACCAGAAAACCATTAGGAGATGAGAGATATTGAAAACAAAAATGTTATGTGCATGCAAATATAAGGCAATAAAGTGATAGCATTACCCAGTTGAGCGAAGAAAAGCACATTCCGACACGAATATTGGGGGCAAAGTTACGTAAAACTTCAGAGCTTTCAAACAAAAGAAGGGAACCTGAATGTGAAAGTATATTATTCAAGTTCCATCCAGATTTCAAATATTCAGGGTAAGTGTATTCCTCCACAGGATCAGGAACTGTAGGAAATCCACTGCTAAAAACTCCAGCCTCCAATGTGTTACCACAAAGCACCTAGCATGAGGTAGCATAAGATCAATTTGAATTTTCACAATGTATCAAAGACTGAAGATGGACAAGGCACTGCATATTTGAATTTATTCATCAATATACCTCAATTTCTTCAGTAGGATTTTGAACAATCCGTCTATATTCACCCTCAATATTCTCCACAGATGGTTGCCATTGCTGACGTATAGCTACTTTTATATTGGAACCTATGATCTTCTTCTTATCTTCGTTATTGAAGTACTGGTTCTTAAATATATCTGCATATTCCTTGAATGTTTTAAGACTGAACTTAGGACCAGGTTCAGACTCACAATCACATTCTTCAACATTCTGGTTAGATGGAGTGTTTGTGTTGCTATTGGTTTTTGTATTTTCACGACCACTAGCCATAATTTCTGGAGCATGCTGAACTTGGTGTCCATCAATTCGCTGAATCTGAGCAACAAATTCAGACTTTTCCCATATGTGTTCTCTCTGAAGAAAGCATGGTGGTTTCCAGCAAGTAGGAGGGACAATGCGGCAAATGCCATAAGGTTCTGCTTTGGAACGTATGCTTGCAATATATTTAAGTGTGTCTTGGAATTCCTTCAAAATGTACACAATTACAGAATCCACAATTGATGACACAAATTAAGATGCGCACATGGAAAAACAAAGAAAGCACACTACTATGTTTAGGTGGTAGGTACCTCTTCTGTTGGGTGGAAAATAGGAGCGTCTTCCAAAGCTTCTCTTATCGCATCTTTAGGATGCCACCTTGCTGTTACCTGGTTCAAAACTTTGTTCAACAAACAAAAATAAAGGATACATGGTCATGCCTGTTCCAATGTGGACAGGTAAAGTGAAAGGTTTATACCTTCACACAATTACTGCAGTTTGGACATCCCCGTATGGTCCCTTTTGGACGACCAGCATTTAAATGGAGTTTCTAAAAAATGAAAAAAGAAAACAAATACCATTAAATTTCTTTATAGTTAGAAGAGAAACCAGTCATGAGATTATGCTCACAAAAGAACATGAAAAAATGGTATTAAGTCATCTGCGGTGTGAACCATAATTGCATTCAAATATATGTTTGCATGTGTATTCTACCAGTACTAGTAATGAGAAATTGCCTCAGAACAAATAGCTTATAAGTCCTGCAATTTGAAGCCAAACCACCACATACATTATACAAGAACCTAGGCAGTTTAAATACACTATATGAGTCCTAATAACAATGTAGAATTAAACAAGATAAAATCAGAAGATTTCATTCCATTCCTATTGTTGTAGGTTACTCACCAACTAAGGACATACCAGTTATCTTGAGTCTAGTATTCATTGTCAAACTATTTGAATCATTCGATTGTATCATTAACTGAATCATCAATAAATTTGAATCTTATTATCAATGAATAAATGTGTATGATTTTGTATCATTGATATGAATCACATCAACCAACAATTTTGTCTTGCTTTTTTATTTCAGCAATTTTCATGAAAGGAATCAAAAAGTCCTATAAACTCAAATTGTTAAATCAAAAGAAATTGAAAAAAGGCTTCTAACTTATCCTATTTTATTATTTCACAACTTTATATGTCATGTTCACCCAGTCAATGCATTCACTCAATTCTGTTGTTTTATAGATTCATTTCCATTATTTAAAAAATAGACTTCGGTATCTTCGATAAAACTTGTAATTTGTTATGAGATTTATTACACAAACAGTTATAGTATGCAATAAAGATATTTTTTCATTTTCTCCAAATCTTAAAATTCAATGCAAATTATGATTCATAATTAGAAAATCAGCTTGGTGATTTCTGATTTGAGTCTCAATTTAATAACCTTGCCTATAACTATGCCTTTCTAGTTTGATTTTATTAGTAATCTAACCACTAACCAAAAATATGCAAGATTTCCAACTTAACCATAGGAAAATGCTTTATGTGAGATTCCTCAGGTTTGTGGTAATTGCTATGGTCCATGTTTATCCACGGCCGATGCATAAGACCCTGACTATATGCAGTAACGTCATTCGTCTCAACTTTAGTCTTCAAGCAGATTGGCTCTTGTTCAGAAGTACTTGTAAAGGTGGTAGATTTATTATTTTCCTTAACATTTTCATTCCTTCTCAAAATGAAAGATGTGAGGGATACAAAACCGGGGGGAACTGAAAGATTTTCTCTCTCCTCAAATTTGGTGCAATCATTTCCATAATCTGCTTCCATCGTCACTGCAGGAAAAAGCCAACCACATATTATCCACATAGCCATTTTTTACACCAATGGATTCTTGGGATAGTATGCATTAAACATGATTGCAAACAATTTACTACCCCTTTAACACTCAACAGGTTGAAACTTCAAACCAGTACAACAGGTCAATAAAACATCCAACATTTCAGTAGGAACAGAGAAGAAGTTTAAAGAAGAGCAAGGTGTGGTCAAACTCAACATTTTACTCGGACTCAGGAAGGGGAACAAAATTATAAATCGTGGTATTATATTATGCAAGATTCATAAAATTCTTATATTTGCATATAACATAGCAAAAGTAAAAAGAAAAAAAGCCTTTATGACACAAACCAAATACTTAATTAAGTGTAAACTCATAATCATAAATGACAGACACAAAGACATGAAAAAAGCCACATAAACAAAAGCAAACAAAAACTCATACAAACAGTAAAACAGAGTTGCAGAAGAACAAATCAGAATTTGCTTAAACAGAGAAGACCTGGAATATCACCAGGAAGAATTCTGAAAGTCAACGAGAAGAATTCTGAACATAGCAGAGAGGAGTTCTGGTCATGATGGTTTCATCCAGCAGTTTTGAGAAAAGGCTTGAGAGGTTAAAAATGGCATCAGGAGAAAAATAAGTGTTTTCTATGTTCTCTTAGTGTAAAGGGTTAGTGAACACTTAGGCTAAGGTTTGCTTAGGCCAAGAAAAGAGCAAAAAAAAAAAACAACACATCACCTACCAAGCAGAATGGAAAAAAACTCTTCTTGCAGTTCTATGCTTTAGTGTACAAGAACAAGACCAAATCTAAACATCTTTACCGTAAATACTAAGTGATGCCAAGTGAATTCACCAAACAATATGACAAAAATTCCAACTTCTATTAGCACTAGAAGTCAAATTATTATTTATGCAAATTACTAAGGATAATCATATGAGCAGGTAGTACATGAGGTAATAAAAGAATTGGAATGGTTAAGAAATCATTTTGTACTTGGTTGCAAAGGAAAAGTGGAAACAATTGATAGTGTAGACCTACTTATTCTCACTCTGGCTCATAAATTTACATCACTCCTTTATAGTGTGAATGAAATTGAGCTGAAAATGTGAAGCAGATTATTCTAATTATGAATTGCCCAAAATAATTTTCAAACCTACCAAGTAAGAACAAACTATAATGATTTCAATCCTCTCCATATCTTAGTGAATATCCAACAAGAGAAAGTCAAACCCATCATTTTCAGCCCCTCGCCACCTTTTCTAATAATACCCTCTGTGATATGCACAGACTGGAACATGAAGAATTGGAGTCATTTTTGTTTTTGACTTTTTGCCAATAATCCTTACATAAATAGTCGTAAACATCACAGAGAACCCTCAAAGGTGAAAAATAGCATAAACACGCTTGCAGACCACAGAACCAAAAACACAGAAAACTAGTAAAAGCTTAAACTAAGAACCATTTCAAAACAATGTACAAGAAAGAAATATCCAATTTTGATACATACGCAGAATGTGAAGTATAGAGATTGTCCCGAAAACAGATTCTTGGAACAAATAAACGGTGAATATTTAACTGAAGAGATTAAGGTAGCATAGAGCCAGCAGACAGAATTGAGAAAGTGGAAGTTACCAAGAGGAATTGCTTGAATGATTATTGACATGTAATTTTGAGGGTGAAAATTAAAAATTGAAAGGGTCTTTAGTCATCTTTCTCCCATGTTGCCCGAATGCAAAGAGTATAGATTATCAAACCCTAAGAATACCCTCTATGATATGCACAGACTAGAACGTGAAGAATTAGAGTCATTTTTGTTTTTTGACTTTTTGCCAATAATCCTTACATAAATAGTCATAAACATCACAGAGAACCCTCAAAGGTGAAAAATAGCAAAAACACGCTTACAGAACACAGAACCAAAAACACACAGAAAACTTAAAGTAAAAGCTTAAACTAAGAAGCATTTCAAAACAATGTACAAGAGAGAAAGATGCAATATTGATACATACCCGGAATGTCGAAATATTGAAGAGACTAAGGTAGAATAGAGCCAGCAAACAGAATTGAGAAAGGCGAAGTTACCAAGAGGAATTGCTTGAATGATTATTGACTTGTAATTTTGAGTGGGAAAATTAAAAATTGAAAGGGTCTTTAATCATCTTTCTCCCCATGTTGCCCGAATGCAAAGAGTATAGATTATCAAACCCTAAGAATTAAGGGTCATAATACGCACCCTCTGAAATGCGATGTAATTCTTCATTAAAGTAATAGTAAGATTAACTTGAAGAGTGATTAACTATGAATCAATGTAATAATCACATAAAAATGGAGAGTATGTTATTTCTTTTAATACTTATATTTTTCATTTTTGAACCCACAATTATTTTATTTACAATTAACCTGATAAAATGAAACTAACCCGTGATGATTAACATTTAATAGATTTTATCAACTTATGACTTATCTTAGAATACAAATTAGCTACTAAAAGAAAATTGTAAAACACACTTCATTTACAAAATTCAAAGAAAGCCTAAAAAGATCTTGATCATGCGCCAAGTCATATTTTTCGTGAGTCTAGTTTGTACATATTTGTTTTTTGACCAATCTTGTTTCTTTGCTTCTTGCTTCGGTTGGTCTAAAACTTGATTGAATATGTTAAATTAAGGTCAAATAATAAATCCTAAACTATAATTACATTGGAAATAAAATACAATTAAAGTAACAAAATTGTTACTTTTATTTTATAAATTATAATCTACACGGTACAAAATTAAATTTTATTCTCAATTCGATAATAATTGAGACATAAAACTTAAAAAAAAAATTCTACTTTTAGTCCTTAGTTTTATAATGATTTTCACTTGATTCTTTAAATTTAATTAAAAAATAATAACTTTTGAATTGGTAATTTGTCATTTTAATTAGTCTCTTCATTATTTTTACTCATGCAAACATCCTAATACTAAATATTGATGTGAAACACATGCATACATTTAAATCAATGTCTTTATTTAAAATGGAAGACCAAAATTTTGGAACTAGTAAAATGAAGAGACTAAAGTCGTATTTATGAAAAATAAAATATAAAAACATGCAATTTATTGAACAAATATGTCTAATAAGTTTTTAAAATTATAAAAAAATAATATAAAATTATAAAAAATTTGTAATATATATCTATATCTCTCTCGTATAAAATTTATTAACCCACAGTTATTTGCCGTATTCTAAGTATACTTTTGGCACATACTGTTGACATGTAACTTTATATTTATCTAAAAAATAATTTTTAGATTTGATTTTATGAATTTTTTATAATTTTTTTGTAATTATTTTAGATTAATCTTTCAAATATATTTTGGATTCATATTTCATAAAGTTTTTAAAAGTGTTTTGAAATCAATTTTTTTAAATATTTTAAATTAATGTTTTTGGAAATATTTTAAAATTAAATTTTAAAAAATATTATAAATTGAGATTTTCATAATATTAAAATTATGTTTAAGATTTTGTAATTTAAAATTTAAAGAATGTGAAAAATCAATTTTAGATTTAATCTTCTAAATTTGTTTTGAATTGATATTTAAAAAAAATATGTTATGAATTTTATAATTCCGAATTAAAAAAAATATATTTTTGAATTTATTCGTCTGATTCATATTTTTTAATCTAAAATACTCTAATATATTCATGGATTACTTAGTTTTATAAAATTAATTAATAAGAGTATTATTATCTTTTTGAATAAATATGGGGAGTGTTGGGAGAAAGTATAGGGTGTAGGAAGAGTTTTTTTTTGTTGGGCATGGCCTAATTTTTCACTTGAATTGGGCTTTGTCAAATGATTAAACATATTTTATAGTGTTTGCTTAAGTGTTAAAGTCTTCTCTTCTAGTCATTATTGATAATTTAATTGCTTTGGCCAAGTGGGTAAATGATATGTTTGGAGAAACATTTTCATAAAAATTTACAAATTAAATTGAAAAATAAATATGAAATAAACTCCTCTATAAATTAAATTAATTTATACGTGAGTTAAAACAAGATTTTAAATAAATTAATATGAAATAACTTTTAAGAAGGGAGACTAATTAAAAGTACGTGCAAAGAAAAAAAAATTGGACAAGAAATTTTTTTAACTAAGCTATAATTATGATTTGTTTGAACTATTTTTTAAAAGAGAAAAATAAAATATAAAAACTAATTTTATAAATTTATGCATATAGACAGATAGGTTAAGCATACACAATATTGAAACATTGACAATTCTGATTCGTAAACCTCTGACTAAAAGAAAGGAAAATTACTGACAACTAGACACACAAAGTAATCATGCAAATTTTGAATAAGTTAAAACCTACTCAAGTGTGTCATTTTGTCCTACAATATTCATCACTGCCCTGTGGACTACCCTTTATTTAGCAGGACACATGATTGCAGCCCAACAGATTCACTTTCTTGCCACGTTGAGAATTGTCCCAACAAGAGATACAAGGTATTTAATTTGGGTGCTAAGGAGTAAAATCCCAACCGAAAATTACAAAAATAAATATTTTTTAATATCGAATTAGTATTTTGTTAGTTCTAATTAGTCATAACTATAATAATGTTAAGATTATCATATATATTTTTTAATGATTATTAGATGTATTAAATGTGTTGAAATTCCACCTAAATTAGAAGTATAATTAAATTATAATATATAAGTAGAGTAGAAAATTTATTTTATAAAATTAAATTAACCCTTTAATTTTTATATAGAAGATTAATTGGAATATAACAGAAGTGGAAATTGGGGAGTTTAAAGTGGAGAAATTCATTGGAATTATTAAAGTTATTTATGCCAATTGCATTAAGACCAACATCTTATTTCTATTCCTACTACTGTTTAGTGTTCATTATAATGGTGGACCAATCTCAGTAATAATTCTTGCTTGGCTTATCTCACTGATTAGTATAAGAATAGTACACTAAGGATTGTTTTATTTTCATTGTGTTAACAAAATGTTTTTCGTTCATTTTTTCAAGGGTTAGTTTCGTTCAAAAAGCACCCTCAAAATATTAAAAAAGTGATCTTAGTTTTCAAATCATGTTTGAATTATGGACCTGAGCCTCAATTATCCATTCCCTCAATGTGATTAACATTGAACAACTGAAAGCCATAGGAATCGAGATGAATTGAAAAACATGAAAAAGAGAAAAAGCAAATTAGTTAAAGCAACCATATCTGCGAAGTGGAGTGAAGGAATCGCTTTGTTTCTGGGCCTAAAGTAATTGACTCATATGCGACACATTTCAATGTCAATCAATAATAGTACCGACAAATAACTAACACACAGTGAAATACGTTAGAAATAATGAAGGAATCATATGACTAACCCTTCACTGATTAATGTCGAAGTGACAAGATACAGAAATTAAGATCTGAAGCTCTGTGTGTGCCTTGATCTCTGGAGCAAAAGTTATGCATGTTTGCATCAACCACGTGCACTTTTTTCTTAGCTAGGGTTTGATTTGTCATGCGATGTAATGTGTTGTTGTCCATGCACTTTCATTAGACGTTGATGACATATAATAATGAATTTAGCACAGAGAAAGGTGTAATTAGGTGTCTAAGTTGTGTCTTTAAACATGAAAAGATGGAAGATTCCCGTTTCATTATTCGTCAAGCTTTTCTCACATGGCTAAAACATAGATGTCAAATGTGCTTATTTTTTCAAAGTTGTTTGGCCAAAACATTTCTCCTACCTATGGTCCATTTACGCGTATGTAAGTTCTAGATCTCCATGTTGTTCATGGCAACTTAATTCGAATCCTAATATCCTATCTTCTTACCAAGCTATGATATTTTCATTGCTGAGACAGGAGAAATTGAGGGAGATTGGGTTGAATTCAGTTGTGAAATTGATGGATACAGGACAAAACTTGTATCATTTTGTTTCCGAATGCTTATGAATTTATATTATATTACATAAGATTAAGTTAAATATAATTTATATATATTTTCTTTTTTTAATTTATTTTAACTTATTGAGAACTGTTTTAAAGAAAAAAAAATCATGATTAAAATTTCAAAAGAAATAATAATGTGAATAAAAATGAAGTTTACAATCTCATTCCTGTATATAAGATTTGTAACGTTCTCAAGATTAATAACTTATTTACTTTTCCATATTATATAAAAATTTAAGAAAAATTTTAAGGAATCCAATTTCTAATTTATTGACATGAAAATTTAATTAAGAATGAATTATTGGGTGCTCCTCAGGGTAAATACTCTTATCAATACAAATAAAAATGTATTGATAAAATTATTACATCTTTATTTTTTTTTAATTCAACATTAAAAGAAAACTTCTTTTATAATTCATAACTAGTTTATTAAAACTATTAAAAAATAAGAATGAAAATAAAAATATTTCTTTTGAAATTATTTTAAAAGTAATTTAATCTCTCCTCTATTCACATATTTTTTTAATTTATATATCAATATATATTCAATGTATATGTTTAATTAAAATTAACCAGATTTTTCTTCGACTAGGTTTTCTTTTTTATTTTAGATATATTGTTGGATGAATCGCACTCACAAAAAAAAAAAAAAACTCACTCTTTAACGTTAGAATTTACAATGTAAATAATCCTTAACAAAGAATTAGGAAAACCTCTCACTCAATATTATTTATAAAAAATAAAAGTTCCATATCTACTTTTGTGCAACGTTTCTTTTTAATTCAGGAAATATATGTCTTGAAGTACGAAATGAATGATTCTTTAAAGTACTATTTTTAATGTTGTCCATTCCAAATAAAACTCGTCTCATAAAGCTTCAGCAAGGTAGTCCTTGATGGGTTGCTATGAACTTTCAGTCTCATCGAAAAAGCTGAGTCATGACAATAAGAGACATTATAATCAAAGAAGCCAAAGTATAACCAATGCTAATTACACCACAAACTGTATACATATGATTAAAATAGTTCCTAAAATAATAAAATTAAATAATAGTAATTACGATAATTAAGAGCCTAATGGACCACAATATTACCCTACTACTACTTGAACAATATACCACAACCTTGTAATATAGCAACTAATCCCACTCAATCTATCATGCGACTTGCCCCTCATAGAGAAACACCATAAATAAATACATCACAAATCAACGAATCTTGACAATTTACGGCACATATTTATATATGTACACACAGCACAACACATCCTTAATTATAGCAAAACCATATTACTATTGTCGTTATCAACATCGAACGTTGTTGCGTCCAAGTGCGAAGCCACGGCATCTTCCAGGCTATTTTCTTCTAGATCCATGTCCCACAAGAAACCATATCCATCATCACCTTTGGAGCTAACGATGGTGTTGGTATCCCGAGAGAAGTGAAGGAGATCCATGAAAGAAGAATTTTGGTTTGTGTTGAAATGATGATGATGGTGGTGGTGTTGGGTTGGCAATGGCATGGAGGAGGAGAAAGAGGTGGGAAATCTGTTGTACCCACCAGGCATGGTTTGGTTGGTGGGAGATGACGAAGGCAAAGTTAGGGATTGAGGTGTTGTCTCGTACTCATACATGAGTTTGGAAACATTGTTATCTTCTTTGCTTTTGTGGAAGACTCTACACAACACCCAGTCCTCCTGAAATCAACAAACATTTGACCTAATTTCATTACCAAAAACTATATGAATCCAAATCCACGCCTAAAGAAACTTTATCCTCACGCCAAAAATTATATATACACTCCAATTCTAACCTCACCCTTTTTTCTCTTTTTGTCATATATATAATAAAGAGTAATACATCAAAACATTTATAAGAACTCCTGCACACTATTCAAGTTACCGAATCTCAGTACTCACAAAAATGCATATATATAACAATTCATACATTCTATGTTGATTTCTAAATGATCTTTTGTTTGTATAAATGGGGATTTATTTTATTTTGTTTAGGGGTGCAAATGGGATAAATTGTTTGTTAGGAGTTGATCACACAGTCCACGTTATATCAAGTTAAATTAGAACTATTTTAAAACTTTATATCTAATTAAAAAATATATTTAAAAACTATTAAAAAATTAATGAGTGGTTTATTTAAATGAAAACAAATAATATAATGATATTGTTATTGTTATAAATTTGAAATTATATACTTATTAATCTATTATTAAATAATTAAGTTCATTGACCCACATGTTCTTTACCAATCTACTTAAAGATATGTTTATAATTTTAATTCAATAGACTTTATTATATACACTTTTAAGCAATCTTCAGGTCAAGACAGAATTTACAAAAAAAAAAAAAAAATGTAAGATCTTAAAGAATCTATATCAAGTGAATGAGTCAACCTTGAGTCTTTGATTTAGAAAAACAAGTTAGATTTGGACCTTACAAAATTTGACTTAATATTTTTACTCTTTATAATTTGACCAATTACAAGTTTTTTAGTTGATTTTGATTTTTCAAAAATTCTTAAAACCTCATCATCACTTTCATGTTACATTCTATGATAACATATGATGTGACATGACTAAATATATATATTATATCATCATTAAATATGTTCCGGGATGATGTTTGTGGACAAATCAAAATTATTGATGAATAAATCATATTAAAAAAGAGAGATTCAAGTTTAAAGAATTAAATGTAATAAAATATTTTTTAGAAAAGATATCAAACAATATTTATCTTTTCCCTCCTCCAATTAAAGTCCATCAGTTCCAACTCCAATTGCACACGAGAAGAAAGAGAATGGAAAATCTATATATTTATGAAATTTGATAATTTTAATAAAATAAAGTACATAAATTATAAGTAGTTGTACCAACAATTATACACCATTCGTACAAAATTATAATTTTTAAAATAATATTCAATCTAAATATAAGAGAATGACACATGGCTCATTAACTAAAAATATTAATCTAAAAATATATAAGTTATGTAATAAAAATTAAATTGAAGCAACTGAGAAATATTTATATATATAATAAAAATAAATAAAAAATAGGGTAGCTTGCCATGACCCATGAGGAGTATATATATGTGTGTGTGTTAGTAATTCCTCATTGTTAACATATTCGTTAATATATTAGAAAATATTTTTTAAAACTAAGTTATAATCTTTAAGCATCCATTATTAGCATTAACATGTTCTTAATATTTTTTTAAAATAACCATTTTAAACTTACAACTTGAATTTATTAAGCACTCCTAAAGTCTTATATTATTGTTAAAAAAAATAATATAAGTATATATATTATGTGTGACATATATAAAATACTTTTTTAAATATTAACCATTCATGTATATATAGGTAATCAAAATTATTTATTTTCTCTTTTTCATATAAATATGACTTTAACCCTTTTTAGTATGTTTAATGTTTTGATAGATAATTTAGATAATATTGTGGATACAAAACAAAGTTTATTCAGGGGCCAGTTAATGCTTTTACGAAGTTCTGTGTATGAAATGATAATTTAGCTGTAAGCATGAAAAGCTTTCATATTAGTCTAGATCATAAAGTTTTACAACCAATGATAAATTATTATTATTAACTTATCATGAAAAAGAATTTGATTACAAATATTAAAGATGTGGCTATTAAAGTTAGAGTTATCAATGTCTTATCTCTTAGTAATGTTTTAAAAAAATTATTATATGCCTCAAATCACAAATCAAAATGTCATTTATTATTTAAAAAAAAAAGTGTTAACTAAGCATTATTAATATACAGTCTTTATCTACTGAGAACCAAATCACTATACATGCATAAGATACTGCTAACATTTGATGTACAAGTGAAATTTTGTGAAATTATCTACTAGTAAACTATATCTTAAGGTTAGTATTATGTGAAATTTATATGAACAAAATAATCTTAATAGAGTATGTGACTAGTCATAAACATCTCACATATTAGCAAAACCGCTTGAGAAATATGCACCCTAATAAAGCATATCAACGACAAATATCTTTTCCTAGCTTTAGCCAGAAATCACCTCCAAGATTTGACCTTAATTAGTTACATCAATCAATCCAACCACATCGCAACAATGTAATTTTTGTCCTAAAGTTATATTAATAAAGATCAGTCCAACAAGCTTTAGTAGAGAACAAGTTTAATGGTAGTGACTTATGCAAGCAATATTAAGATAAGTCAAATCATTAGTAAAGATTCTTGAGAGAATACTTATCTTTAAAAAAATCATTAATTAACTTTATACAAATTACACCATTCTGAAATTAAACTTAATTAAAGTTATGGTGAATTGTTAAAAAAGAAAGAAAGATGCACCCCACGAGTTAAAAAAGCTAATGAAAAAGAAGTACAGTAGAAAGTAGAAAGTAGAGAAGCGAACCTTTGGAGGCATGTGTGGGGTCTCCAAGCGGAACTCATGCATGATCCACCCGGTTTTGATGCCATTTGGAGCTCTGTTCCTGTAGAACACCAACGTTTTCCTCATCCCTACAACCTCTTGCGTGGTCGGATCCACCACCGCTCGATCCTTCCCCGTTGCTTTCCAATACCCTGATGTTGTTGCTCGGTTTGTTCGAAACCCCGTCGCGTATTTGCGATCCCGGAAGCTGAAGAAGTACCACTCGTTTGCGTTCAGCTTAGCCACCTCTGTGATCATTCATATCAGACACATGCATATGACTCGTCAATTTCTTGTGCTAGCAACCAGACAACACATGACTAAGCTATGATTAAATAGTATGTGCAATCAATTGTGTCCCCGATATAATAAATAGTTAGGTCTTGTGTAGAATCACTCTCACATGTCGCCTAGTTCATTATGAAGTTTTCAAGTTTCCAATCCCATCAGTGTTTGATGACACCAACATACAGTAATTGCTACTTAGAAGTTTCAACGTATTTCGCTATATTTGCTATAAATGTGATTTCGTGGTCCGTTTTTACTCCCTCTTTTCATAATATTGTGCATGAAAAAAGAGTACTCAATAATCTAACCAAGAAAGATCATGCATGTCCTTTCATGTTATTACATTTCACTGAGCACAATATAGTTTATAATTGCTAACCAGTAAAAATCAACCAGCTAGATCGATAGCGAGTCATGTCCAAGAAAGGTAATAACCGGAAGCGTATATGTATACACGTATGTGTGTTTCAGTGTATATTAACATCATCAGTGTTTGTTGCTTGGTGAAAAAGTATTGCTTTTTCAACTTTGTTGTGATAAAAAAATAGTTACTAAGTAAATGTGTATTTATCCCATAAGCGTAAAATTAAAGGGACATTTTGACCTAAAAAATCATCAGTAAATCAAGTTAAAAGTATATTTTGTGTCAAATTAAAAAGGACTCAAGATTTATGGCCACCCTCCAAATTAAAAGTAGCCAGGTAGGGCTTGTGTCAGGGTTTGTTCCTCTATTTCATGACGAGGAAAGCGAATGGTCACTCACAGAATTAGTACCTAATGAATCCAGCTATGTACAATGCATATTCTTAAAAAAAGTATATGATGATAACTCTTAAATATGGCCCCTACTGGCTCATCATGTTGAAAAACATAATTAACCCAAATTATTTATGTATGAATTGAATAGTACTACGTACAGCAGAGTGCGTGTGCTGTAAGTGTGGAGATATAGAGTTTATATTTGAAAGAAGAAAATAGTAGGAACATGGCAATGGAATGAATTGAATAAATGAAAGACAGACAAGAGAATAAGCTATTATTTGGATTTTTTTTAATATTTTTGTAAAAAGAAAATGAAAAGTAAGAATGTAAAATAAATTGAATTTATTCTTGTGTGAGAAGTGTGTATATATATTGATTTTAATTAGATGTGAAACTCAATATATTTTAATTTCTTATGAGTAATTAAAGAGAATTTAGTTAAAATAAAATTTATATTGCTTAAAAAAGAAAAAGAGAAAGAGTCAATCACCCAACTTTTGTTCACGAGAATTTTGAAGTAATTTAATTCATAATTTACAAGTATCACAGTTCTTCTAAATTTATAGTTTTCAAAAATAAAGATTAGAGCTTGTAAAAAATTTAAAAACTATTAAATTAATATAAACCTATTTAAAAGATTTGATTCATTTTATTTTCTTATTCTACAAGTATTATTGAAAAACTTTATTCTTGATAATTTTATAAGTACCGCATGTAAATCATAGTCTACGGAGGCCATAAATATCGTTCACATAGTATGCCAAATCAAAGGAAAAAAGGTTTGGTATGTGCCAACATGGAATGAAAAATAAATGACCGAACAATACGTGCATAAGACAAAAACTTTTATATCGGAAAAATATATCAAGTGGAATATGTTAATTATAAAAAGTACTGGATGTTGTTTTATTTGATTTATTGACAGAGGCATAGTATTGAACTATTCATCAACAAGTTGGCATTGCGTTAATGATTGAGGAACTGAATGCACTGTCGTTTCTGCGAATGGGATAACCTCATAAATCATAACCCTGTCCTCTACCTTAACCCTTTCATTTTCTTCCACTCTCATCTCTCTCTTTCTCTCTCACTCGTCTCTTCAGGAATCAAACAAGCGTGTTTGTCACTTCTCCATATTAATTTGAAAATATATGCCGCGGCCGGAAATGTTTGTCCGAAGAGGTTTATGAACACATGAATATAAGTTATGGACACAGGTTTATGATCAGAAAAGGAGTATAGTACAGCAAATGTGAAGCAATTAATTCCTATATATGAAAATTATTCGCATAACAAACACGAACAGAAAGAAAAACATACATACATACACACACATAGGTGTTTCAGAAATTTTGGAAACCAACTACGATTAACTAAAGAGATGAAGCTATAGGAAGATATATGTATGTATGGTTCAGAATATACGTACCAGGAAGCTGCCATGGTTCACATATGTGGAGATCAATTTCCACCAAGGTACCCTTCAGCACTTCCTCATTTGCGATCTTTTTGTAGAGGTAATGGCAGACCAATTCCTCGTCACTGGGGTAAAACCGAAACCCAGGAGGCAGTGAAGCACCAATGTCTCTGAGACCCATTTTTGAAGGAGATGTAAGATATGTTACACAGTTATGCAGAGGAAGAAATAGAGGGAAAATTTATGACTATTTTGTGGATATGGATAAAGCTAGGAATGTGGATAATGTATATAATTGAAGCTTATGGAGATTACTCCCTCTGGGTATTTGAAATATTAAGGTATAGAGGCAGAAAGGTTGGTGTCGCCTCTATATATAGAGAGAGAGATAGAAAGATATCATGCTTTGCCGTTTAATCAGAATTTCTTAATTCATATTCCAGCAGGGGCATGCTTGTGTAAGTGGTTAGTTATAGTAGGAAGTTTCAAGAAAAACCAAAGTTACAAGAAACCTTGACAAATAAGGGTAGAACAATAATATGACTAACAGACACCATCCAAAATTCTCTCTTTTTTTTTTTTTTTTTTTTTTTAATTCCCTCCTTTATCTTCCCTTGATTCGAGGAAAATCTATTACTCCATAGCAATAACTAATTAGAACCTAAAGAGAGTAACTTTTCAATGACACACAGGTTTCAAGACACTTGCGTTTCGTATAGAAAATCCTGTTCTCTTTTCTTTTTTTTTTTTTTTCACATTTATCGACTTTTATTAGCAAAACTGAATTGAATTTAAAATTATATAAATTTTACATTACGTACCCTTCTGGGATATTTTTAAAGATTTTATACTTGAATAAAAATGTATACCTGAAGTTTCCCTGATCTATATCCATCCAATACTTTTTCAATAACTTTCTCTCTTCTTGAACGAGGTTCTTTAATCTCAACATCTGTTTGTCTCTAGTTGGATGCTTTTTAAGTTTTGAGGTGTTTTGTCCAAACTCTCAACCTCGTTGGAAGAAGTCCAACACTTTTATGACTTTGGCACGGGCATCTTAATTAATGAAATAGTTAAGTATATATTAAGTTTTTTGCAAGGTACAACATACATTGAATCAAGGTTATTTGCAGATCGTTCTAAAGTCACGTTTTTTATCAGTACTTTCTTCATGCGGTTTTTTTATACTTGTAAGTCCTTCTCTATGGTGCACCTTTTGAATTTGCTTTACAAGGGACAAGCGTGGCTTCATTTGTTGTTCTAACATGGTAGGTTAGGAAAGAAATGAAAAGTTGACAGTGGTGTCAATGAGAGACCCTGTAGTAGAAAAGTTAACAGAGCTAGTTTATTAATTACATGCGAGTGTCCATGATTGGTATATATGCATTAAATTAATGCAAGTCCTTGATTTCATTGGGGACGCACGTGAGGATTTGATAAATTTCTGAGCTGAGTTTAACATGGACAGCCCTATAAAATGGAGGAAATAATTGATGTAGCTGGAAATAGAATTTAATGCCAATGATGAAGTTGGAAGTCCCATCTGTTCCGTTTTGGATCACAGAATGATAGTTTGGAATGATGCGGGGAAGTGTGGGGCAATCTCATTAATTGTCTTCTATCTGGGGTCCCCTACCCTTGTCATGCAGGACCCAACACTTCAATTATAATTAGGCCATCATATGTTGTTACTCTACTTTCTACACTTATTTTAAATGGAGGTCCAAATTTGCAATTGGTATGACAAAATCTATCTGGAGTCTACTTGGCAAGAACAAAATTATTAAAAATAGATCAAATAAATACATGTTATTTTTAAATGGGCTTGAGGTAGGTATTTATCTGCAAATTTTAGTAGCCATAGTTGAGAATATGGATGCTATAACTAATGTTTTACTTTTGTAAACTATTAAGTTTTTTCTAACTTAATAGAGATATATTTAAATTTTGTTTAATTTGAATTACTTAACTTTATGTTTGAAATATTACTTTTGTAAAATTTAAATAAGTTTTCTATTTAAACATAATTTATGGTTAAACTTGTACAAAAATATTACTAAAATATACAAATTAACATTTGAAAATGATATACCAATAAACAGAGTAACTACTTGTTAAATTTTATCTTAATAGAGTTTTGATCCTAGTTAAACATGCAAATATGTGTCATTACATGTCAAAAATATAAAAATAAATATATTAAATAATAGAAATTAATTGATGCTATAACTTTTATGAAAGATTTTTAGGTTAACTATAGTAAATATGCATATATAACATAAATAAACAATTACATTCTGCCTTCCAAAAGTGAAATTTTGTAGTATTTTTTATAATGTTACAAGTTCATTGGTTTGTTAATATATATATATATATATATATATATATATATATATATATATATATATATATATATATATATATATATATATATATATATATATAAGAGCAATAATGAGTACGACTAGAGTACAACATGTACAAATGGAGATTATAGTTATTACCAGCATGAATATAATGGCAGATACAGGGAATGAGTACTATAATATCCTACTCAGACCATACCAATTATCATCTTTGGGTGATGAGATATCATGCATCAATAATGATATGATTATTATAATATTAATAATCTTTTATTATTGTTATATAATAGCATATTTATTATTATTATAATAATAATAATAAAATAATAATAACATATGAGAACAAAATGAATATTTGTCAAAAACGTGTATTATCTCAATTATATAATACTAATAATTAGGGGAGCCTATATGACAGATGAAGATGACAACATCGAGATTCCTACCTGATCTCTCTTACACTATTTGACCACACACAACAATAATGAGTAGTAACAATATTTATGTTTACGCATTTCATTTAATCACACTAAACCCTTTTATTTACACGCTTTGTTTATATATAAACAGGTCAAAGTTATCTGTATGGCCTTTAGAATATGTGTAAAACCTCTGTCTTTCTTTATTATTCTGTATGTATCTTTAACTATGCCATTATTTATTTAAGATATATATTCAAGATAATGTACATGAGTGTGACAAAAGAGGAGAAAAGGGACTTAGAATCTTACATGAATGTCTAACCAAGGAAGATATATAAATATATGAGGATTACTTGTAAAATTGGTTACTTTGCACATTCAGATGAGGGGAAGTGATCAGTGTGGTCCCGCTGTGAAGTTATATGTGGCATGGACGATGAGACAGTTTTCGATGCAATGAGAACTTGGTCACTAATCGTTTAATATGACCCTGTCGGAGAAACAGTGATATTCTTGAAAGTGGGACTCACCACTGGGGCCATCAAATAATTATTATGGCTAATGCATAATCAATGATATGAGCTAAACAAAATTAATGAAGTCTATAAATGTTACTACTAGGTAGCAACAACAGTAAATGAATTGGTAAACCTTGGCCAAATCAAGATTTTTTTGTCTCACTGAATCCTTTGTTGAATGCAGAGTGAAAACGACAGAGAGAAAGAGAGGTATTGGTAGGGGACACTTAAAATAATAACCCTATATTTTGTTTGAAATGGAAACCCTAAATCACCGGGTGTTGGGCATGGTTTTGGAGGATACATAGATGTTGAATGTGGACGTCATGGGGAGGGCGTGACGCAGAAGATTATTATATAAAATAAAATAATGGTAACAAAGGAAGAGATGATTCGTATGATTACTAGGGTTAGGGATTTAGTCTAATGATGAAGGTTTTGTTGGGTGGAGGAGGAGGATGATGTTGGAGAATGAGTGACGGCTTAATATTCCTCTCCTCTCTTTAGGGCCAATAATTTCATCCATAGCTTTCTCTTTCCATGGTGTGTCTTTTAAGTCTTTTTGGCATAACAAGCTAACTAATATAGTAAATTTCACTTCCTTAAGTTACATTACATATGTGTTATGCCTACCTACCTAGCTAATTACTCTTTCAACAAATCTACAATCTCACTAGCTACCCCTTCTATTAACTCAATTAATTCATCTTTCATTTTCTAATTTCCATGATTTTATGAATGATTATTATTATTATTATTACTATTATTATAATTTACCACTCTCCCAATGTTTTTTTTATGGGTACCCCACAAATAGCAATCACTCAATTCTTGCCAAGTAAGCATGAACCCACGTGGCATTCTTCCAATTCCCATGGCCTACTATTTTCTTTCATGTGGGATATCCTTTTCAACGTCACTTCTCAAATAGTGTAAATAGTGTTAGTATGTTATTTGCAGCCATTTAAACAACTATTTCCAACGATTGTCCCAAGATTCGTGTGACAACCAAATAATTTTAGTTTATTACTGTTTCATGTTTGTTAGTTTATTATATTAACATGTGGTTAATTAATTAATTAACAATTTCACTCTATGGCGTCATAGCTCAAAAATTGACTTTTTTTCTTCTTCTAATTAAACATCACATTCAACTAAAGAAAAAGATAATTATATAGATCACATATTATATTCTTTGGAAAGTTATATTTTTACACTCTGAATGTTTCTCGGATCATATTCATATTAGAAGAAAGATACGAGGATATGATAGTGGGGAGATACAAGGGGGAACAAGAGACAAAGAGATTTCACTACTTTTTTGGCAATTACATCCGAAATTGGAGCATATATATTATCAACTTTTTATTATAATTATTAAAGTAGATTTTATATATAGTAAGTCTAGAAGGAAGAATGGGATAAGGGATAAGGGAATGAATGTGAAAAATTGGAATCTAGCTACCTCTCTCTAGCAAAAATTGCAATCCTACACGATAACCAGTAAATTATCTAGATATGCTTATTTATATTTGCATAAAATTTCGTACCATGATTAAACCTCATATGCCTTTAGTTGGAATAAAATGGTTAATTAAGAGTTTAAATAATTTACAAATTCAAATGTCATACAATAACCTTCCTTTTTTTTTCAAAAGGAAGAAGAATGGATGAATTAGAGTTGAATGCGTATGAGATAGCGTTTGGACGACAACTTAAAACATAAAAATGGCATTTTTGGCACTCCAATTCCAAAACCCACTTTTTAAAAAGAGAAATGTGTTGTTGTTCACTTTATATTTGACGCTTTTTGAAAATCTTGCTATTTTGCCTGATTTGATCGGGAATTCATGATTCGCCATTACTTTTACCCTA